CCCACATAATCTGACAAAATCTCAAAAAGATGCTCGTGTCGATTGGTGCAAACAAATGCTTAAGAAATACAAAAAGTGCATAGATCATAAAGGAGAATATTTTGAAAAACAATAAAGTCATTTTCAATGACAAATTACTGTTTTTTTATTATTAGGCTCAAAATATAAATAGTGCCCCTCGTATGTGCATTTTGACATAACATCTCTGAAATCAATTGCGCTATTTTAGAAATCTAGTGACTTTACACTTACGAAGCGAGTTCTACTTCACCCCCCCCCCTGCTACGGAGCGAACGACTAATTTCTACGCTTCGCGTAGAAAATTGTGCGCCCCTATGCGTTATTATATAAAAACAAAAATTATATAAGAAAGTAACGTTTTCAAAGAAAATTTTTATTTTTAAAGCAGGAAATCTATTTTAAACCAGAGAATTTTTATTTTATGTAGTAGAAAGAGACGTTATTTTTTTAAACTTTTCTTCTTAATAACTTTTGAACGAATAACGAGCGACAGCTAAAACCTATTGAAGGTTACTCAGGATCGTGATCTTGACAACATATGTCAAGGTAAAGGTCATGGGGGAGGCTTCTCATATTTGGTATATTTACCATATATAATATTTTAATATAGAATTATTCACTTAGAATTATTGAACTAAAGTTGTTCACCTGCGAATAATACGCCAATGAGAACAACAAGTGCGTGAAATCGACGTTTCTGTCACGTGGACAATCCAAGTGGAATCTACGTGAACAATCGAGCGGTTTATTCGACTACAGTTTACGTGAATTCCAATTGGATAATCCACGTGACAGAAGTAATAGGTCAATTTCACATATCTATTCGTATCAGGTTTTCTCCTTTTTTCCTTTTTGTTCTTTCTCTCTTTTAAACGGAAATACTTTAACCCTTGAACAGCGGACGTCGTGATACTCGCATGCATGGCGGATGCAAGGTCAAAAAATGTGACCCAAGAGTGATAGTGTTTTAAAACATTCAAAAAGCAAAAGAAACAAAAAATAAAACCGATAGAGATTAATTTATTATAGTCGAAATCTACTAATATTAACTTCTAAAAAAAAATTTATTCCTTTTCAAATATAAAAAAAATTTCTATGCATGATATTAGCACATCAAATCATGAAACATTGTATCACACTAATATAAGTCCACTTAATTTTGATGAGAAATTTAAATTAGATAATATTAACAATAAATGGATAGTCAATCTTAGTAACGTAGAAGGCATCCTATAGGATGCCAAAGATCCACAAAGAAGGAAATCCATTAAGAATAATTATTAGTTGTATAAATAGTCCTCAATATTCTTTTGCAACTTTTTTAAAAAACATTATTGATAAAAGCATAAAAAAAGAATTTGGTTACATAAAAAATTGTTTCGAATTGGTTAATAATTTAAACAGTATTGCATTAGAATCTAATTACAAATTGGTCTCCTTTGACATCATATCTATGTACACTAACATTCCCACAGACTTAGTCACAAATAGTATTGAAAAAAGATGGATTTATATATAAAAAAATAGTTTCCTAAATCATTCCTAAAGCATTCCTAAAAAAGAATTTTTAAACGCCATTTCCTTGATCGTTAATTCAACTTATTTCAAATTTGATAACAAATTTTTTAAACAAATCTTTGGTATGTCCATGGGATCTCCGTTGTCACCAATCTTAGCGATTTTAGTTATTCAAAATTTGGAAAAAAATATTTTTTCCAACATAAATATTAACATTTCAATTTACTATTGATATGTGGATGATATTTTATTAGCAGTTCCGAACAATTAGATTAATGAGATACTAGATAAATTTAATTCTTATCATGATAGACTGAGATTCATAGTTGAGCATGGGGATGACAATTCTGTAAATTTCCTTGATGTTAAAGTGATATTAAATGATGGTTGCATCAAATTCGACATGTATAAAAACTCACGAACTCAGGAAGATATTTAAGTTATATATCTAACCATTCAATTCAACACCAAAGAGGAGTAATAATCGATCAGCTCTCTCTTGATAGAATTCTTTTTCTTTCACATCCTGAATTCCACAAAAAAAACGTTGAATCCATGATAAACATTCTATTAACGAATGATTATCTTCTTGATACAATATTTTCTACAATTAATAACAGAATTAAAAAATTATCGAATAGAAAGAATTTATATGAAAATAATATTGGCAATAATAACGAGTCCATTGATTTTAATAGAAAAAAATATTTCACAATATATATATATACCATTTATGAGTACAATCTCTGACAAATTTAATACTATAGCGGAAAAAAATAATTTTAAAGTATCGTATAAACCTATAAATACTTTGATTCATAAAATTAGGTAAGAATAAATTAGAAAAAATGGAACAATGTGATGTGGTATACAAAAGCGCGCTGTCTTGATTGCAACTCTTCTTACGTTGGTCAAACCAAAAGAAAAGCAAAAACGAGAATCAAAGAACATAAAGCTAATATAAAATAATCTAAAGATTCTCTCACTGTATTATCACAGCATTAGATCGATTGTGGTCATAAAATTAATTGGGATGATATTCAGGTATTAGATATAGAACCGTTTTTTCAAAAAAGAATCATGTCAGAAATGATTTTTATTAAATAACAAATTAATGATCTGAACAACCAGAGTGATACGGAAAAATTACTAGATACTTACTTTCCGTTGCTTAGCATAACTCCTCCTATGTAATACCATTTTACCCTCCTCTTGGAGTCATGTTGGGTATATAAAGCTATGTATCATGATGAGAATGGCAGAACATTTTAACTAATTCTTTATTACAACAGGACATCCACTTTCGATATTAATCTTCATAAGTTGATTGGAACACAGGTACTAATTTTTATAAGTTATAACTCGAAACATGAATTATAAACTTTTAATTAATCAAGAAATGTTGCGATCATTAGAATCTGGAAATTTTGCGTTCAATAAACAACTTATTACAAACATTTAGATTATCGAAAAAATTGGAATAAAAGGCGAAATTCTCTGGATATTATTGGAAACTCTTTGATTAACAATTAAAGAATAAGAAAAAACAAATTCAACGAGCGTTCTTACGTAATATTTAGACATGTTAGGAGATAATTAGCTTAGATTAGTCGTACATTTGTGTGTGAAAAGAATTTTTATACTTAACTCTTATATACTGAAAATGGCCTAATTTAAGGCCGAAACGTCTAATAATTTGTAATCCAATTATATATGTGTGTGTATTGGAATTAAATATAAACTTCGCTAAAAATATTTTGCGTTCGTGGTATATGTCCTTTATCTTTCCGTATTTAAAAAGCAGTTTTTTATTATAATGTGTAATAAATTATTTAAAATATGTAGAAAGTGAAATAAAAACGTATGTTTATCATAGAAACAAATATATATTTATTCATTTTTTTCACAGTTGAAAAAAAGTAAACAATTCTAACTCGCAGGTCTCGCGAGACCCTACCTCTGCCGGCAGAAGGTTAAATTACAAAGAAGCAAAGCTTAAAAAGACGACATACACTGCTAAAAGTTCGAGTTCACATACAAAATTTAAGAATATTCTAGTAAAATACTATTTAAAACTTCGATTCATACTCAAAAGTTTCCTTAATTTAAAAGTAAATAGACATTTAGCACAGTAATGATTAACAAGTATCATTGTTCAATTTTAAGAAAATACATAAATTATATCAAACAACACTCACAACAAGCCTTCATAAGCCAACACTAGATTTTAATGTGAAAATTAAAATTACATGGATGTACAATATAGTACAGTACACAAGTATACGTTTCGACCTTTGGTTGAGGTCCTAATACATTAACACCCTCATTAATTGTCCCTATCTCAAATATAACATTATAGTCAAGTCCTATTGCATCCTGGTCGTCAAATTGGTAAATTTGCTATATTATATAAACATATTTAACTTTTTACTTGAGTAATATATCAAAAAATAGTACAAAAATTTTTTTAAAAACTTACAAGATTGACAGAAATGCATGGTTATTCATTTGGTACATGTTTCACTGGACTGCTGAGTTCACTGTAACGATGTCAATCAAAATGAGTAAACTCTGTCTTTAATAAAGATCATCTTAGTAACTTACGTGCAACACCAAGAAGAACTAAACATTTTCTCAGTTCAGCAGATAAAATTCAACTGGCAACTCTCGATAAACAGCAAGCCAACAAAACATGTACTTACAAAGTCAGTGTTATAAACAAAAAACATAATAAATATAAGGAATGAAAGCATTACTTCCCCGAAAATAAATCCATATATAAATCATTGAGAGACATTGTATCATTTTGTAAATTAAGACCCGATTTTTTTTTATGTATATCATTTCAGATAACAATCTTTTGTGCCAAATTTTTTCTCTATCCAGTATCTGTACGTTATTCCAATCAAATTCATGAGTCTCATTTAATCTATGTTGCGTAATAACAGATAACTGCGTGGTATTTCTATTAATATTTTTATGTTCACTAATACGAGTTTTTAGACATCTACTAGTTTGTTCTACATAAGATGCTTCACAATCCCTACAATCAATCTTATAAACAACATTAGATTGCGAAGTCCACGGTATTTTATCTTTTTGGGCCTTAATGTAATTACTAAGTTTGTTAATGCCTCTATAAGCCATATGTACTAGAGGTACTTGTTTGATAAAACTCTTAATTTTATAAGAAATTTTAGGTATGAACGGGACAGTGAAAAATTTTTTATTATTCTTAATATTAATATT